GCACTGTAAATTCTCAGATACAGTTGGCTTAAAGTCACAGCAAATGCTCCAATAGTGAGCAGAGAGCTGACATTAAGACCATCTCCTCTCAAATCTTCATCTTCATTAGGAGAACTTACTACAGCGCTGCTCTTTTAAAATAGCACTGCAACTAAAGCACAGACCAGCAGGACCAGTCTTTGAGAACACAGCATTTGCATGCAAAGCATTGCAGGTCACATGACCAGTAGTGCCGTCACAAGAAAAAGGGATCTGTTTACACTTGCCCTCCAGAGGCTCCAAGACAGAGTATTTCAGCTTGGCTGCAGAGCTCCAGAAAAGTAAGACACATTCTTTATAAGCTTCTCTCTCTCTCTCTCTCTCTCTCTCTCTCTCTGCTTTAAATAGTGTAAAACTTCCATGGTTCTTAAGAATGTTAAAGTAACAATGATACAATTTTGTTTACTCCAAAATATTGCTGATATTTTCAGTTTTACAGTTTGTATCTCCCATATATATGACATGTAAAAGATCTGAACATATACCTCAAGGTCAGCAGCCTTCCGATGATATTACTATGTTACTTTTAGATAAAGATGGTGGGTTTTTATACCATCATTTGACCTGAAAATGCTCTCTCTCTCTCTCTCTGTATATATATATATATATATATTCTCTTTCCGTCTTCTCATATGCCTGTATTCGTGTGTGTGTTTGTTCCCTTTTGAATACAGAAACCATTTAAGGGTTGAGGTGTGTGCCTTTTTTCTCTCTCTCTTATGGAACACCAAAGGAGATGTTTGTTAGAATGTCTGAGCTGCCCTCTTGAAGAGCTGGATGGAGAGAGGGACTGTCAAGCTATAAAAAGAAGAGAAAAAAAAACCCAATTACAAGTAGCCCATAAGACCTGTGCACTATATTACAATTTGTCTGAAGTTGTGCAGCCTTTTTTAAGTGTATGAAAATTACCAGCTTCAGCATTCTGCTATAAATAACTGCTTTGGTGTTCCACAGAACAAACGTAAATCAGGTTTTGAAATACATGAGGGTGAGTAAATGATGACAGAATAATTTTTTGGGGTAAACTATTAATTTAATTGGGAATCCCATTTGAAACACAGTGTGTGATGCATAATTTCTATTCCACAACGCCCATGCCGCTGCACATTATTATTACACTGCAGGTTACTCTGGCTTGCTTGTTTTTTGTTCTTTGTGAATGCATGTCAGGAGATATTGGTTGACTTGATGTCAAATTGCCTTTTCGATAAAAGAAATTCCGATATTGAGAATTTGAGAGACATTTGCAGGAGAAACCCAGCAGAGATTGACATGACATTGGAGAAAGCACATATGGAGACATAATCAGCATATATATTTGTTGTTTCCTGTACCCAGCATCTTGGCCTTGCTCACAGAGAATAAAACATGCTGGAAATGATTGTAAATCATTCAAGGCAGATGGAAGACTTTTCCTCTGATAGTTATGTGTAAGCTTTTCATGCTCTTTTGCCTTTTGGGAACCAAATGCAACATTTATTCTGTTTGAGTGAAGGACAGGCTTTTTTCAATGGATTACAGAGCATATGGCAGAACACATATTTCAGAGTCTAATTCCTCATCTCTAGTCTTAGTTCTTCATTTTTGCTTATTAAATGGGATGTATTATGCTTATGTCCAAAACAGCACTGTCCAAAAATCCTGTCCAAATGTCTTTTGAACAAGAATCCTCATAGACTACTGCCTCTGAAGAGTTCTGATCGGATCTATATCATTTGTAACCCAATAGTCTGTATTATGTTTGTAATAAGTCCTCCATGTGATTGCTGCCAGACCAATGGCCAGTTGTCATGTGCCGTGTGTGAGGATTGGGTTTCAGGCCAGCCTGTTTCCAGTATAGCAGACTGAACAGGAAGTCTTTCTGAAAACCCGTCCTCTATGATGCCTTGCCTATTAGTGTGACATGCATGGTAAATGTCTTGACCGTGGTCACTGCTTTCTGCTCGGCTCACCCTTTTCACCTTTCTTCTCAAATCTTGTGGAGCACCCGTTCTCTATTGAAACACAGACAAGACCCGCTATCGCTCAAGAGACGCTCCACTCATCGGTGTTGGTATCAGTTGCCTTAATTCAATAGCTGGCTGCCAGGGAGAGATTAACTATTCAGGGCAGGTAGTTAAAGGGGCTATTGTGTTGCACCGCTGTGGAACAGCTACGATTGGGGAGGTTTTTGTCTCTGGGGGCTCTATGCCAAAGCAACAGCCAGGGCAGCGAGGGATGGAATTCTACACACACGTACAGTATCTCTCTGTCAAACATCTGTCAACTGACCGCGTGTGTTGTAAATACTTAGGTGTCGTAAACAGCAAACATTTGACAGTGGCTTTTGTGACTACTTGTATTTGCCAAAATGCAAATGCAGTTTTGAATATGAAATAGTTGTGTATACTTTATTTTGGAGTAAAAGGCTTTACTGTTGGCTGCGCAAAAATATCTTTTCAACACATTGATATAACAACAAAGGCTTGTAAAGGTAAAGTGTGTATTTTTAGGCCACTAGTGGCATCAAACATAATTCCAAAAATAATGAAATTAAACTGGTTTTCCAATTTGCCACCGGTCAGACAAATAGGTAATAATGTTAATAGACAGAAATCGCCATGTTGGGCAGCTGAAATATTTTTCAGCAGAAGTAAGTTATAACCCTTCTAAAAGGTTTATTTATAGTCCCTGAACACAAGGAGAAAGTACTTAAAAAAAAAACTATTTCACAAAACAATATGCCATTCTTTATAATTTTTCAAAAATGGTCAGTTGACTAAATTAATCATATTTAATTATAGTTAATGATTAAATAAAAATCTGTGATACTGTAAATGATTGGGTGAATATATTAAATCAAACCCTGACAAATACATTTGTTTCCTTTCAAATTTGGCACCCTCTTTGAAATGTTTGAAAACATTTGAGTTGGTCTAAGGAAACATAAGTGTAAGGGAACACAAAATTGCCTACTATAGTATATTTGTCTGTGTATGTAATGTGAAATGAACCTAATGAAAATGTATGTCATTTTTTTCTTTATCTTAACAGATCAGGCAAAAGAAGGACCAATGTGGCCATTAACATGCAGCGATATAATAGAATCAGAAGCAATATGGAGCATCTCTGTTTTAATCCAGAAAGTCGACTCAAGGGAACATCATCAGTAAAGCCCATCTAGATAGCAGAAGCAGACCAGTTGTCCACTTCTAATATCAAGGCTGTTTGGTTTGTTTGGAATTCATCCCAGTACCGTTAAACAGGATTTAGGATAGCATGTGTCAAGAACCTCAATGGCCTCACCTTCTTCATTCATATGGTTATCATCTAAAGGATTTGATGTTTCTTCAGTGACCTCCTAATCATTTGCCAGAAAAGATAACTGAGGAGTTTTATTTTGTTCATTGCACTCTTGTAGCATAACCGCTGGTTACCATGCCTCCCATTTGCCGGCCCCATTGTATACTATTACTATTCAGCACCTTCCTGAGTCTTGGTTTGGGCCTGGAGTTCACAGGTTCAGAGGCTCAGTGGGCACGCTATCTTCGCTGGGATGCCAGCACCAGAAGTGACCTCAGCTTTCAGTTCAAAACAGCTATATCAGATGCACTAGTTCTCTACTTTGACGATGGAGGATATTGTGACTTCCTGCTCCTGAGTATTGAGGAAGGCAAGCTGAAGTTGCGTTTTAGCGTGGACTGTGCAGAAACCACTATAACCTCCGACAAGATGGTAAATGACAGTCGCTGGCACTTTGCCACTATCAGCAGGCACAACTTGCGAACCGTGTTGGCGCTGGATGGAGAGTCAAAGGTGGACGAGGTGAGACCACAAAGGCAGTTCATGAAGATTGTCAGTGACCTGTATCTTGGAGGAGTGCCTCAAGACATTCGGACAGCTGCCCTAACACTACCGGCGGCTAAGGAGATGCCACCGTTCAAGGGGATTATTACAGACCTGGGCTACGGGAATCAGGTTCCAACACGCCTGGGGAGCCAAAATGTCCGGTTAGAGATGGAAGGCTTGTGTACGGAGAACCCCTGTGAAAATGGAGGCAGTTGCAGAATGGCTGACGGTGAAGCTTACTGTGACTGCTCCAAAACAGGATATGTAGGTCGTTACTGCAATGAAGGTAAGAATCTTTCCACTTGATTTTGAGCATATGTCTTGCCAGTAGTTTGGTGTAATTTATTTTAGTAATGTATTAATAAAATAAAAAAAATGCATCAATGTAAAATCAAAATTGACCCTATTTACTTTCCTGTTATACATTCATGGTAAGTTTATTAAAGTAAATTTATCTTGATATTTTTACTGAAAAACAAGTCATAACATACACGTGCAGTTAAATTACACTTCACAGTGCATGTTAGCATAATTCATCTCATTCATTAGTGAAATTATCACATTGAAACTGTAGGCAACATTACTGATTGTACACAAGCATGCTAAGCGTAACTTTTTTCAATTAATGATGATTTGCAGTGCCCCAAAAAAGTATTTAGACACTGTGTCATCCTTAACAAAATGTGTGAATTCGTTACATAAATAAAACAAATGGTATTTATTTTAAATAAAGATAGCATACATACACTTTCAAGTGAAACAGACAAATAAATACAAAAGTTACTAGGATACCAATTTGACCACTTGAAGAGAACTAACAATAAAAATCCCTGCAATACCAACTTGCTGCATTTGCAAAAATGGTTCAAGTTAGATGAAGATGCCAGTTGTTCTAATGCAATTACATTCATACATTTTAAAGCATGGTTTAAGTGTCCAAATAATCTTTAGGGCCACTAATGCTATTTAAGGTGTCGATCTGTAAGAAATGTAATTATAATGATGTTTTGATTATCAGTAATTATTTTGCTCAATGTATCACTGATTGAGTGACAGTTTATGTCAGCAATGATTACCTTGACATGTTACAGATATTGTTTTCACTTTAAACCTATTGCAGGCACATCCATCTTGGTTTGTTGTTTTATATAGTCATTGTTATAGGTTAAATTATACTTTTTTCCATCAAATATCCAGATCCTGCACATGTTACAGACAATGGAAGGTACACCACAATTTCAAGAATTGAACCTTTTGAACTGAGATTTTATTTCTACTATCTGAGAAGAGAAAATGTCTTGTTTCTAAACGGTCAGGTTTCTTTTTTCAACTGTACTTCAGTGTTAAGACCTATTTGGGATTACTCTCACTGTAGACTCACCAGCATGTATTAAAATAAGTCTCAAAACTGATTATACTTTCCGAATGCACACTGAATTGCCAAGAGACATTGGTGCTGTGGTTATGAGAGATTACTCTTTTCATGTTGTGCCCTGTGTATAGTCTATAATTCCACAAGCATCTTAATTTATTCAGGGCACGAATATAAAGGCATCCAGTCAGGCAGGGAATCAGTAGACCCAAACCTCAATGCCTGACTTATTGCATTTCGTGATCAAACCCAAGCCCTTTAGACTGATCACACCAGCCCTGCGCCTCAGTGCTCCTTTATAAAGATTTAGTGATAGTCCTCAGCAGTGACAGGAGATCAGGCTGTATGATCAGATCACCTTTGGATCAGTAGGGGTGCTCAGGGCTGGAGGGCTGGTGAAGGATGTTTCTGCGTCTCTGGCCTTCTGGCAACCAGTAGGCCTAAAAAAGTGCCCTTAATGAGGAGCCAGTCAGCAGCTGCTCAAGGGAAAACTGATGTGATAAATGCGAAGCTAGTGGACCTCTAATCTCAGAGCAGGGGTTTTGCTCAGCCTGTCCTGCGCTTTGACCGCAGGCGTGGCTGTCAGGGCTGTCAAGGCTTGTCTTGGCTTCATCAGGCTTCAGTCGGTGTCTACAGATTAATGGATGTGTCTGATAACGGATTGCACCACTGAGCTGTGGGAGCGTTTTGTAATTAGGGGCGGAACGAAAGAGAAATGGCTAATTCGCTGGTGGGTGATGGGGGCAAATGAGGGGCTTAAACTTGGACTTACATGCTCTTAGCAGCTCACAGCAAGGCTGCGTTTACTCATTTACGGGGAATTCACTAAAAATGAATTGAAATGAAATGAAGTTTTAATGGCAGTAATAGTAAATTAACAAAGTCTTATTTACATTGAAGGGTGTTCCTTTAACTTCAAACACTTTTATGTTCCAGGGGTTCATTTTTATTAAAAGTTGGATTTTAAAGGGGTCCTATTATGCTCTTTTACAAAGTCTTGATTTTGTTTTGGGGGTGTACTAGAACAGGTTCTCATAGGTTGTTCGAAAAACACATTATTTTTCACATATTTTACATTATTACAACACCTCTCTCCCCAGTCTGACATGAAAGGCTCGAATAGTTCCTGTATCAAATGAAGGCCCACCTTCTGAAATACGAAATGTGCTGTGATTGGTTAGCTGGGCCAGTGTGTGTTGTGATTGGCAGCACTCGGCGCCTGGTCGGGAAATGTCATGCCCCTTACCATAGCCGCCTGCCAGCTTCAGTGTAAATATTGCATCAATATCAAATCAATTTGAGCGTGATTTAAACCCGGATGATTGTAACCGCTCTAAGTTCGCCTGCCTTGGGAAAGCCAGCGTGTCTCCGACATAGTGATAACACTCATTGCCTTCTCTAGTGCAGCTCAACCAGGTCTCATCCCATTCGTCG